AAGAGTGAAAGGCTGGCCGGACCCCGGTGGCTCACACCTGTCATCCTAGCTACTCAGGAGGCCGAGATCTAAGCATCGAAGTTCAGAGCCAGCCTGGGCAGGAAAGTCCATGAGACTCTTTTTTTTTTTTTTTTTGGGTCCGGTCATGGGGCCTGAACTCTGGGCCTGGGCACTGTCCCTCAGCTCTTCAGCTCAAGGCTAGTGCTCTATCACTTGAGCCACAGCACCACTTCCAGCTTTTTTCTTTTTGCTTATGTGGTGCTGAGGAATCGAACCCAGGGCCTCATGCATGCAAGGCAAGCGTTCTACCACTGAGCCACCTTCCCAGCCCCCCCCCCTTCATGAGACTCTTATTGCCAATAAACCCCCAGAAAACTGGAAGTGGCGCTGTGGCTCAAGTGGTAGAGCATGATAGAGTGCTCACCTTGTGCTGAAGAGCTGAGGGACATCGCCCAGGCCGAGTACGAGCCCCACGACAGACAGACAGACAGACAGACACAAAGAGAGAAAGAAAGAGAGAGAGAGAGAAAGAAAGGAAGGAAGGAAAGAAAAGAAAGACAGAAAGGAAAGAAAGGAAGGAAGGAAGGGAGGAAGGAAGGAAGGGAAAGAAAGGAAAAGAGTAAAAGGCTCCTTAAAAGCGCGCCACATGGAGAAGCCAGGCGCGGAAGGGCTACACGGTGTGACCCCACATGCATAAACGACAGCAAAGGACAGACAACGGGTGGTTTTCAGATGGGTGGAATCACAGGTGCTGGGGGTTCTCTGTTGGAGACTGACACAGCAGTGAGGGCCCCTGGGTAGAAATGTGCCTCCGGACCCATGGGGAGAGCACCCTCATCCATCTGCACACACTGTCACCAGCCCAAGAAACCACAACACACTGTGTCTATGTGTGGCTTTGGAGAAGGGTTCACTGTGTAGGCCGGCCGGCCCTGAACTGGACAGCCTCCTAGCCACGCTCCCAAGTGCACCACCACACCCAGCCAGCCAGGGTCTTCTGAGCAACTGGGAATTGAACCTTTACTTGCCAGTGGCTCTGCCACTTGAGCTACACTCCCAACCCCCAAAAGCATATTTCTGCTGCAAAAAAACTGCTTCAAAAACTATGGCATTTTCTTGGGGCTACTGGGATTTGAACTCTGGTCTTCATATTTGCTAGAAAACTTGAGCCACAAATGACTCCAGCTCAAACATGTCTTTGTGCCTGAAAATAGCATAAAGACAGTAAGTCCAAGGCCAACTTTCACCCACGGCACAGCTGAGGGGCAGTGGTGGTCTGTCTGTACCTTCACAGACCACTCCTATTCTTGGGTAAGGGACAACCAGCAGGGCAGCAACTGGCAGACTCTAAAGGTGTCTCCTGTTGGCCAGCTACCGAGAATTTTTTCCTTCCTGAAAATAAACTACTTAATACGCTCCATGCTTTTAACTTCTAGTACTGGACTGGGAAGGTGGCTCAGTGGTAGAGCACTTGCCTTACAATGCATGAGGCCCTGGGTTGGATTCCTCAGCACCACATAAGCTAAAAGAAAAAAGCCGGAAGTGGCGCTGTGGCTCAAGTGATAGAGCGCTAGCCTTGAGCTGAAGAGCTGAGGCCAGGCCCAGAGTTAAGACCCCACAACCGGACCAAAATAAATAAATAGACTTCTAGTACTCCCCAGAACAACAATTTTAAAATAATATCACATTGAAGGCTTCAGGAACCAAGCAAATAATGAGAACTTCAGAAAATATAGGAAAAATAAAAACAGCCAGGCACCAGTGGCTCACACCTATAATCCTACACTAACTTGGGAGGCTGAGATCTGAGGATCATGGTTTGAAACCATCCCCAGGCAGAAAAGTCCATGGGACTCTGATCTCCAATTAATCAACAAAGAGTCAGGAGTGGAACTGTGGCTTAAGTGGAAAAGTGCCAACTTTGAGCACAACCAACCAAAAAAAAAACAAGCAAGCAAGCAAGCAGTGTGCTAAAGCTCTCTTTGCATTCTTTCTGTGAGCTGTTGGGTTGTGTCTTGAGCTTTTTGAGTTTGCTTAGGCAATTGGTGTTTTTCAAAGATAGAGACATGATTTGCCTTAGAAAATCTTTGTTTTATTTAATTTTGGGGGAGGATGGGGTATCCTGGGGCTTGAACTCAAGAGCCTGGACACTGTCTCTGAGATTTATTTTGCTCAAAGTTAGCACTCTACCATTTGAGCCACATCACCACTTCCGGTTTTCTGGTGGTTTATTGGAGATAAGTCTCTTGGGCTTTCCTGCTTGGACTGGCTTCAAACCATGATCCTCGGATCTCATCCTCCTACTTAGGAGTAGCTAGAATTACAAGCTTGGGCCACCTAAAAATTGGGCCTGGCCTAAAAATTAACTTTAGAAATGAGAGGATGGGATGGGAAGGTGGCTCAGTGGTAGAGTGCTTGCCTCACATGCATGAGACCCTGGGTTCGATTCCTCAGCACCACATACACAGAAAAAGCCAGAAGTGGGCTCTGTGGCTCAAGTGGTACAGCTCTAGCCTTGAACTGAAGAGCTCAGGGATAGCGCCCAGGACCAGAGTTCAAGCCCCATGACTGACAAAAAAAAAGAAATGAGAGGATATAGAAGAGGAAGAAGCAATCAGGGCCCCCTACTGGGCTTGGTGCTTGTCACTTACAGAATCCTCTACAGGTCACAGGATGGACAACGTCCTTCAAGGGGACAGGGAGACACGGGGGGGGGGGGGGGCCTCTAGCCAAGGTCACGCAGCTGGTAAATTCAGTGCCCAGAGCCAAGAGAGGGTTTCATCTGGACAGAAAAAGGCTGAGGAGCTGGAAATGTGTAGTGGCAAAGTACTTTGTCTAGCATGTGCTCAGCACAGGAAATTTTTACTCTAGATTCAATTCACTGCCCTTCAGGGACAATCACAGCCATCTTCTGCATGAAACCAGGCATCTGAATACCCTGACATTGGGTGCAGATGCAAGAAGCTGGAACACAACTAACAGCCCATGAACTGGCCCCAAGTGACCGGGACTCTAGGGCCATTCCAGAGCTGACAACCTCAGAGAGAGCCTGGCTTTTCCACTTGACAGCTCAAACACGATTTCTTTGACCAACACAAGAGAGACTCTAGGAGAGAAATGAGTTTACAAAGACCAGAGATAAATATCACCAAAAAGACAAGATTGCAGTTTTAAAAAAAAAAGAATATAGGGTTTTTTTTTTAGAGATATTAAAAAGAAAAGCCAGCCAGTTGCCAATGGCTCACACCTGTAATCCTAGCTGCTCAGGAGGCTGAGCTCTGAGGATTGCAGTTCAAAGCCAGCACAAACAGGAAAGCCTGTGAGACTCCTCTGATCTCTAACTAACCACCAGCTAACTGAAGTGAGACTCCTCTGATCTCTAACTAACTAACCACCAGCTAACTGAAGTGAGACTCCTCTGATCTCCAACTAACCACCAGATAATTGAAGTGGAGCTGTGGCTTAAGCCTTGAGCAAAAGGGACAGTGCCCAGGCCCTGAGTTCAAGCCCCATGACAGACCAAAAAGAAAAAGAAAAGAAAAAAAGAAGAAGAAAAAGAAAAGGCCACAATCCAAGGTCCAAAGATTCAAAAGCAACAACAAACCTCACCACTAGCTAACTGAATTTTTCCAGCCATTCCATAAAGGCAAAGTTTAAAGTTCAAGGAGCCCAAAGACATTGCACGGAGGCACTAGGGAATGGCTGGGAAAACATGATTCTCAGGCTTGAAGTGAGTTCAACCATACTCTACTTTCCAAAGAAACCACACACGGGTAGAGAAGGACTTTTCTCTAATGCAAACCTTTGGGGCTGGGCTCCAGAAGACTGTTAAAAATTGTGGAGGAGGAGCTGGGAAGGTGGCTCCGTGGTAGAGCACTTGCCTTGCATGCATGAGGCCCTGGATTCGATTTCTCAGCACCACATATGCAGAAAAAGCCAGAAATGGGGCTGAGGCTCAAGTGGTAGAGCACTAGCCTTCAGCTGGGGACAGCGCCCAGGCCCAGAGTTCAGGCCCCATGAGTGACCAAAAAAATGTGAAGACACAAACCTTTGAGAGACAGAGGCATGCTCCCTAACCTCAGACAGACAGAAGGTGCTCTCTGACCCCAGACAGACAGAAGATGCTCCCTAACCGGGTGCAGGGCTGGTGGGCCTGGCTGGGCAGGTGGGTCACCACGGTGACTGGTAACTGAGGAGCAGGAGGCACTGAGGCTCTAGCCACTCTGTCAGCACGGCAGCCCAGCTCTTAACACGCTCACTGACACATACACATGCATATACACCTGTGCACACCTGTACTAGCCTGCACACACGTGGGGCAGGCTGGTGGTGGGGACAGGCCTGCCTCCTCCGCCACGTTCTGATGCTCTCCTAACTGCCCGGGCAGACCCTTCCTTTTCTAAACACAAGACCTGGAAAAACCCAGGTGACCCAATGTTTAACTGTCATCTGTCACCAAGTGGCTGGCTGGGAGGACAAAGGCCTCTCCGAGTTTCAGCCCAGGTAGGAAACAGGACATACAAAGGGGCCAGGAACCCTGACCAGGGATATCCTCCCTCCAGCCCACCCCACGAGCCCCAGGAAGGGGCCAGAGGACCAGCGCAGACTTGAGAGTGAGTGGCAGCTTGGGGTCAGGATGAGGTGTGCAGGGCTGATTGGGCTGGGAGATGGAAGGGAGACTGGGGTGGAAACCGTGGATTCTGGATACAGGTCTCCAGTAGGGGCTTGTGGGGGGGTGCTGGGGGGGGACTGCTTCAGCTGTAGACTTAAGGTCAGGTGTGGGCCTAGACTGAGGACTGGGGTGGGGGGGGCAGGGCTGAGGTGGGAACTCGGGACAGGGGCCTGGGACTTGGGGCGGTGGGATGTGGGTCCAAACGGAGTTAGGGCTTGGGGTGCGGGTCTGGGTGCAGATTTCAGGCGGCGGGGGGGTCCGGGTGCCAGGCAGCGCGCCCGCCCCTCCCCGCTCCCCACCGCACCGCAGGCGCGGGGCAGTGACGCACCTTGTGGCAGGCCGGGCAGGTGGGCGCGCTCTT